AGTTCTACTTGTAACTTGGCCACTGATGCCCATAAGATTGGCATGACATTGTGCCCCATTAGGCATCATTCACAGACCAAGAATCATTGAGAGTTACTTGGAAAGAGATAAGCCTTTAAATTTAAATGTGAGGGATCAAATGCCCCTGGGCATATCTAGCCTTATATATGAGGAAGTCACAAGCAGCCTTCTTTCTTCTTCTTTTTCTTCTCCTCCTCCCCCTCTTCCTCCTCCCTCTTCTAATAAATTTTATTTAAATTAGAAACAATCCCATTTTATATACCAATCTCAGTTCCCTATCTCTCCCATTCTCCCATGCCCCACCCCACACCCTCCCATCAACAGACTCCCATCCCATCCCCCATCCACTCCCCAGGGATCATCAAAATCTGTCAAGTCATTTGGGGCGGGGCCTAGGCCTTCCCCCTTGTATCTAAGGCTAAGAGAGTATCTCTCCTTGGGGAATGGGCTTTTGAAGTCGGTTCATGCTCTGTGAATACATACTGGTTCCACTGCTAGAGGCTCCATAGACAGTTCAGGCTCTCCCAGCTAACATCCACATTCAGGGAGCCTGGTTCCTTCCCAACTGTCAGACTGATGTCCTTGAGTTACCACTTGCCCAGGTCAGCTGTCTCTGTGGGTTTTCCCAGCATGGTTTAGACCCCCTGGTTCATCACTCCTCCTATTCTACAACTGGATTCCAGGAGTTGGCCTCAGTGAAGAAGCCTTCTTTTTACTGCACATTGAGAATTATTTGCAGAAATAACCAAAATTGCATCAGTTCTACAATATCAAGCCCTGCCAAGTAATAAAGGAGATGGCCAGATATATGCCCCCTTTCTTATGGTTAATGGATTTTTGTGGGGATGAGCTTGTTCCTCCCAGCAGGGGTGACCTCACCAGGCTTCCCTCACAGCGTGAAGTCTCTTACTAAAAAGAGCAGCAGCATACACACACACACACTCCTGTTGCTTTGTTCTCAGATGTGTGCCCTCACTTCTCCATGAATGGCTTCTAGAGGATCAATGGAGGTTTTGAGTAAAATTCAAATAAGCTAATTTCCTGCCCTATACAATACTGTGGCATGCTCACCAGGGCTTTGAGGGCCCTTCTGGCTATCTAGAGCATTCAGCAAGCTGACTGGAGCAGAGAATACAAATGAAACTGTGTTGAACCCAAGTCCAATCTTCCCTTTCCAGTTCAGTGGCACTGGAATAGTGACACCTCAGTTTCTTCATATGGCCAATGGGAGTTACATATCTTTTACAAAGTTTACTGAGATAATAAAGTACATTATTTTGGCAAAGCACTTACATAGCTGCAAATGATAACTAACACATGCGTTACACTAGAGTAAAATAGTGCTTACTTCCAAATAAATGAAACACCAGTGTTAATTATAAAGAGGACATATGCATCATTTTAGCTTACTTTAGTGTCCAACACAACCAATGGGCTGAGATGACATGAGTTCAGTGTCCTGAGATCACAAACAACCAGTTATTATCAATAGAAGGCATGTAGTAGCTGTATTTGTAAGAATAATATATCCCTAATGCAAACTAGTGTGTAACACAGAGTGACTGGACCTGGACAGGAGAGTAAGAGGCCACTTTCAAGACTAACTGTAGTTCTGACTGAGGTTAAGAATGCCACTTGACCTTTCTAAGGTTATTTCCTCATGTATATGCTTTGGCTATTGATAATAGATATGGATGATGTGAAAATTAAATAATATGATGTATTAAAAAATGTCTTGCAGTTTACCAAGCATCCTTCAAATACCTTTTACAGATAGATGTTAAGCCTTTCAGTTTTTTCTCTTGCATGTTGTTTTCAATTAAAACCACTAGAGGTCAGAATTTCACATAAGTTGCTGAAAGAAACCACCATGGTAAGGATAAAAATCAAAAAGAACATTTCCTACTAAGCAGTCTAAAACAAACATCTCAAGGACAGACAAAAATATAATGGGGGACTTTCAGCAAAGATATTTTTAGTAACTAGAATGCTTAACTGCAAAACTTTTACTTGGTGCATTTGATAGGCATACCAAAGAAGGAGAAGCAAAATTTGTTAAATATGCATTAATGATATCAGTACAAGATTAGTTTATGATGATTATTTCACTTAAATGTGAGAAATATGATGAACGCCCATTTTTCAAGTAAAGAAGCTGAAGCATAAGTAGATCAAAGGGAATTTTTCCTCCATTAGGATGTTCCTTGTGAATGATGCTGAAAAGCATGGCTGTCTATTGAACAGCATATTCTATAAACTGGATAGTATTATTGGCGTTTCATCTGCAATTCTGAATAATTTATTTAGTTTCCCCTTTCCCAAACAAATTTAGAGTTAAGTTCTTTTAATCATCTGTTTCTCAGCATATCTGGAAATTTCTGAGCAGACTAGTGCTGTGCTGGTAAACACAGAAATGAGATGATTATCCATGGAGAGAAGTATGCACTAGTTTGATTGTATGAGAAAGACACTCAAGAAAAAACTATAATTTTACTCTGTAAAATGCCTTTTTGACCATCAACATTTTTTTTCCTTGTGAGGAGCCAAGTATCTAGGCCTGTCCTCCTTGAATTTGTGGAGGGGCTGTTGTAACTCTCACAAGGAATGAGATATAGTTTACATTGGAAAGAAGGACCCATGTAATTTTTATGCATCCTCCTCTAATAATCCTCCCAGAACAAAGGAAAGGCACCAGTAAAAATGCTCACATTGCTATACTTCCAAGGCAGTTCACAGAGATTCAGGTCAACCCGGAGCTCAGCCCCAGAGTTTGAATCCCAAGTTTGCTACTTAGAGACAATTCTAAGATGGGTTCCTTATATAAGCTTCAAACCCTAGTCATTGGACATGGTGCCTGGACTTGGGAAGTATTCGATCCCTTACAGGGTCATAGAATCTCTTTAACTGAGAAGGGAACTTAGGGTGCCTTTGGTTCAAAGACTGCATGCTTCAGAAGAGGAAACCATACCAGTATCGTTAAGATGAGAAGTTCTGAAACACGGTGGTCCAAAGCACCTCTCAGTTTCTCCTTCAAGATGCACTCGCATTGCCATCCCTCCATATTAACTTATGATCTGCTCACAGGTCTCTCTGGGCTTGGGAAGAAAATTAAGCTTCAACAGATTGAAACAGTACTTGAACATCTGGTGAGAAGATTCAAGCTTCACATTAGGTAAAGAAATGACCAGAGAAGACTCATGCACACTACTGGTTTTCAATGAATACTATAGAGATTGAAGTGATGAAATGAAGTAAAATGGTTTAATTTTTAAAAGGTAGATGTCTTGTTTTTCCTTATAAAGACTTTCATTAAAAAAAAAAAAAGATAATTCAGTGTCCACAGGTAGACCCAGAACTTGCAATTCTCCTGCTTCAACCTTCTGAATGCTGTGGCACCTGGCTGATTCTGCAAAGATTTAAGATCTGACTACATATTGCAGGGAGTCTTTGAAAATCAAGAATTGATCAGTGCTTTTCTCAATCTCCCCCTGCAGTCTTGCTCTTGTCTGTAAAAATGCTGTCCTTATCTGTTCTCTAGAATCAGGCCTGAGCCTAGACTCAATACCTTCTCAGAAAACCTATGCAAAACAATTTATCTCTTTTTAGTGCACTGCTGTGCCTAAAACAGGGCCTGATGAAAAAAAATCAATGTCCATTAGTTGGCTATGGGGATAAGTTATGTTTAGGATACTAAACTAATAGTTTCTTGTGCGCTCTTATTCCATTGTGAATACTGTAGCTGTTTCTCCCGGGGCAGGTGGGGGGGGGCGGGAAACTTAGCAGTGTTATTCTCAACTACTCAGTGTTATTTCTCAGTCACACAATTAAGAAAGCCTTCAATATTCAGTCTTCATGATGCCATGAAGAAAACACAGTTTCCTTGTACTCTGTGAACAATCCAGTAATGGATTTCAGTAAATACTTTATTTCTAACCAACACTTTCTTTTCTGTACATTTGCCCTTACATTATTCATTTATTCACCCAAGAAATTATTTGGAAGCCCCAAGGTCTCAGTGTAACTCCCTGCATTTATTTTATAGTATCAAAGGTTAGAAGTTGGATTGTAATCTTGGGTAAAATTAATTCACTGATTAAGAAAAATGCACTTTAAGTGATACAAATTTAAATCGCTGACAAGCTGACAAGACTTGAGCCATGTTTCTTTTCCTTCTAATGTTCCTTTTTTTCTTTCTACTTGAGATTTTAAGCAGCTACCATTCTTTCACACAATAGCCTGAGGAAGCAGAGCATGAATTACTAATAGGAGAAAGCCAATCTGCGGTGCAGTGACCATTTTCAGAACAAGAGGGTAAGGGCTAAAACCAGGAAAACAGATTTATTTAAAACAAAACAAAACAACAGCAACAAAACCCAACCAGTGCTGGAAGCATATTTGGACCTTAGACATCAGTTCTACTTGGGAAAACAAGCAATAGTCTACCATTCTCCAATTGAAGGCAATTGACCTCAGAGATTCCACTTTCAAATAAAGACATACTCACATACTGCTTTTGGTCCTTAATGAAAGCACAGTCTCTTCACTGAAACTCAGGAGCCCGTTAATTACAAAAAATCGACTTCAGAATAAAGTTTTGCTTTTGACCTCCTAGTTAATGTCTTCTTCGAATGAGTGTGGGAGCAAAAGGAGAAAGGAGAGCAGTCCTAGAATAAATGGAGGTGGGCTAATGAAAGTGCTTTGAATCCTCATCTCCCCCTAGGCACAGTGGAAGAGTTTCCCACAGTGCTCAGCAATCACCATCAGACTCGAATCCCAGGATTTCACCTTTCCCTACCTTCTCTTACCTACCACCAAGGGAAGCATATAGTCAGTAATTAATAGTCCCGTGAGTTCCAAATTAGACAGGAAGACTGAGGAAGCTAAGGAGGAGTGGGAGAGAAGTCACACAGCAGCTAGGGTGGATCTGAGAGGGGGAAGAGATCACATATATTAGATGAAATTTGAGGTTTCTTCCTCACCTTTAGGTCCTGGTGAAATTGTGTGTGTGGCACAGACTTCTGCAGCAGGTCGACTATCAATATCCAGACCCAGACTTTGAAACTGCAAGAGAAGTAGCAGAAACAGGATGAATTGGTCTCTTTGAAGCAGAACCCTAAAGCCATTCATGACTGTGGTTCTTCAAAAGAGGGTCTCCAAGACATGCTAAATAAATAGAATTATTTTTAAGTAAAACTTGCTACAGGGAAAAAAAGGAAGTAACTGGAAAGTACATTCCAGAAATGGCTTTGAGGATGAGCAGGAGGCATTCCCTTGGTTGTTTATTTTCTCAGGATTCCAAATGGGCCATACATAGTCCAGACTGTTTCTTTTCAAGTGACAACAGTTTATTGAAAATTATCTCTAAACTAAACACTCGGATGTGCAGGTCCCTGGAACCCTCCCCATGAGCAGGGAGAAAATAGAGACGATTGCCTCTCAGACCTCCAGCTGGCTACTTAGTTTGCATTGAGCTTAAACACTGCATTCCAGGGGTGTGGAGGAGGCTGTGACCTGAGATTTCTGCACATTTTGCAAACACCCTGTGTGCCTTTGAGCTTTTCATGATGTGATGCTCGTTACTGAATGTGATAGCTGACCACAGATGCTCTCAATATTCTCAATGACATAGCTCTTCCTCTTGAGACCAAAAATTACCTTGGGAGTAAGCCCCAAATGAATAAATAATCAGATTTTCTGAAATCGAATCTGGTAATAAATATGAAGGCTATTAAAAAATGTCTATAGTTTTGGGCTTGGTAATTGCCCTTCTAGCATGCCCTCTCAAGGAAATAATGTGAAATGAAAACAGCTTTATTCGAAAAAATGTGACAAAATGGGAAAGGAGATAATTTGTCTACTCACATAGTAATAGTTGACAAATTTTGGTGGAATAGAAATACGTGAGTATGGATGTCGAAAGCATCCAATTATATTTCTTAAAAGACAAGAATTTTTTATGTAGATCATTTGGATTTGATACTGAAATGCAGGCATGATTGTAGGGATTAGGGTCTCTGTATTTTTCTAGTACCTCTATTCTCATGTATCTGTCTATTTCACTATGAACAATCAGAACTTAACTATATATTTATTGGAAAATTAGAATTGGTCATTTACATTGTACTCCTAATATTCTTTTTGTTTATTCTCTGTCTCTGTACCTCTGACTCTCTCCGTGTGTGTGTGTGTGTGTGTGTGTGTGTGTGTGTGTGTGTGTGTGTGTATAGGCCAGGAGTCAACAGAGGTGTCAACTGTTCTCCACCTTATTTATTTTTTTACTTTTTAAAATGTTTTTAAAATTTTTATTTTACATATTGATCCCAGTTCTCTCTTTCTGCCTTCCTCCCTCCCTCTTCCCCTCTCTCCCACCATCCCATGTCCCCCAACCACCCTCCCCTCCTATCCCCCCCCCACTTCACCTGTAGGGTGATGCCTTCCAGGAGGGGTCATCTAAATCTGTTAAGTCATTTGGAGTAGGACTTTGGGAGCACATTCCCCATGGAGGGATATACCCTTAACCTAGAGGCAAGAGGGAAGGCCTAGTCCCTTCTCCACCTTATTTTTTGAGATGTTTCTTGGTATACATGGAACTTGTCAATTTGGGTAAGGCCACTGGACAACAAGCTCCTGAGCACTGGGATTACAGGTGTATGCCACTGTGCCTGGCCTTTTTATATGGATGCTGGGTATGAAAACAGGTTCCCATGCTTGTATGGCAAGCATTTTACCAACTGACTTATCTCCCCAGACCCTTATGTCTTTATTATTGAATTATTATACTGGCAAATATATTGTCTAGACTTGAATAAATGACATTTCCAAGCCATTCTTCTTCAGTTTGGGAAATCCTCACAAGAATGACTAAGGGTTAGTTCTTCATAGACGTCTTTACAAGTAATGGCCAATCTAAAAAAATGTATGGATGCCAATTTCTCACTACTGGCATAACAAAGGACCCAAAGTTGAGTGCTTAAGCAACAGAAATTTGGCCTGAATAGTTTCTGAGTGAAAGGGGAGCCGTATCTCTCAGTAACTACAGGTTTATAGAGTGTGAGGACTGTTCACAAAATATAGAAAAAAGGAAGGAAGGAAACTGGTACCGATGGAAACATCATCATGTACAAGGGATGATCAGTCTCGGTTTTAGCTCTTTTTAGCCTCAGGTCTGTTCTGTGAAACAGATAGTAAGTCATCCATTTTGCGGATAAAACAGCTGAGACTCAAAGGCTAAGCAGTTTGACTAACAGCAACCACTGAAGAAGCCAAATGCAAATCATTTTGCTTTTAAAACACAATTTGGTTTCCACAAAGGTTGATTCTCTCAAGTTTTGTGAATGCATTGATTTTTCAGTCACTTAGGGTGTCCAGAACGGTTGTAGCTATTAGGTCAACAGTGACAGCAAGCCAGTGAGGACAACCACAGTGATGCTAGAAGCCTCAAATTCCACATCTGTCACTCAAAGATACACAACAGCGAAAAATGACTCAATTTGAATTGCCATGGAGCACCTAAAGTGAGCTTTGACTTTAAATCTAGTGCTCCTTAGAAATTGATGCCCTTTAAATTATTTAGTCTAATCTAAATCTAATCACTTCTTTTGTTCCTTTTCAAGGATTTCCAGGAACACAGTGAAAATAGACCAGTTAAATTTATGCACTGGTTAGCAATCTGAAGGAAAGCCCAGTTCTTAGTACCTTTCCTTGGCATAGTTCATTTCTTATAAATGTAATGGACACCTTTTATTAAACAGTGCATAAAATACCTTTCTATGTCTATCAATAGAATCTTACACCAAAATTTAAGTTGTTATACATTATTCACACATTTTACATATAAAATTATATATAAAGAATATGGCATTGGGGCACTTTACTTATCAATATGAATAACACTATAATGTGCATTTTTCATCTTTGCAGCTAGTCTGTGTTCACTCTTTTTGACCCTTAAGGAAGGCAAATACATGTAGCTTGTGAATTTATTGAATGGTACAAACTGTTGGTAAAAAGAAATACACACTTATGATGGTATGATATTGTACTCATCTCTCTCACACACACCATTTATTTTCAGGTTTTTTATTTTGGTTTGGAAACTATAGTTCTCTTTTTTCTCACTGATATAATGGTAGTTTGTAACAGTGATATTTAAAGAGGACACTCACCCATCAGAGAGTACCAGAGATACATGATCCATGTATCATACATCCCATCTTTTAGCTGAAAAGGCTGCTCTCAAAATCACCCTATGGCTTTAACTTGGAGAACTTGGAAATATATTATTCCTGCTAAGTGAATCTGGTTCTGGTAGGGAATTATTTTCAGCATTTTGGGTTAAGGAAATACCAGAATGGAGATTATAAGCAGGAAGTTTGGAACACAGGTCTTAAATATGGGTGAAAGTCTAGAACTGGTATTTCTTTTGAGGAAACACATGTATAGAGATTGTAGGTGAAAGTAGAATACTGAAGGTGAAGTTCTAGAATATAAATTCTGAGTCACAACTCAGGTACTAGCATATACACAGAGAGGTAACAACGTGTAGTGGAAACCAAAAAACAAGAAAGTTAAGACACATAACACCTACGCCACCCAAACCTAGAAGCATGAGATGAAGGCCCAGTACAAGCTATAGGATTTAGGAGTCAGTATTTACAAAAATAATTTATGAGTGTAATAGGCCACTAAGTGGAACGTTTGAGACGAAAAAGAATGGCAGAATAACACTGATGATATATCAAAACTAATAATAAGAACACTTATCATTACTGAATTTTTGTCATGTGCCTGGTACTGTGATAACTTAGTGAACAAATCATTTAATGTTTAACATTAATTTTAAGGAAAGAATATATATATATATATATATATATATATATCTGTACATATTACAAAACAAAAGAAAATCTGTAAAAAAATATGGTTTGGAACATATTAGAAAAAAGGTGGATGTCCTATAACCTTAAATATTTATCCTCACCACCTGGAAATCAAGGAGTATTTCTTCTTGGGGACTCTAAGCAGTGTTTAAATAAGAGCACGGTTAAACCTAAGGAGTATGACATATGAGTTAATGGAATCATCACTGATTTCTTAACAAGTGTGTTGATGAATAAAAAAATAACGATAGAAAGTATTGATAGAAGTCCTTTTGTGACTTATTTAATGCATCAGGTATGTACATGAAAATTATGTGCAGGGTACCAACATTATGCAAAAGGCTTATTGCTTATCCAAGCTCCTGGTGTTTCAATATATATGGGATGACAGAGCTTTTAAAGCAGAAGGATTTTGAAATAGTCAAATTATGTTAAATGTGTTTCCTTTGGTGTGCTAAAAATACCTCCTGCTGCCCAGGGAGATTTCGACTGACATTTCTAAGACTTCACTTTCACTTATTCTCCTAACTGAAGCAACTGAAAAATACAAGTCAACATTGGTTTTACTTCAGAACTTTCATTGAAAACAGACAACAAGCCCAACAAGTTTATAGGGACAATCAATTGTTTAAAGCCAGATAGATCCCCAAAGAGAGGAATCCATGGCTGGCTTTCAAATCTGTCTCCAGAGTTCTACATTTCTGTGACTCCTTTCTTCTTCCATTCTCCAGGACAATACATGTCAGCCTTAGCAGTGCCAAAATATGACACACTACTAAAGTGAAAAGCACATGACTTTTCTTTCTGTTATTCTCCTGCATAGTTTTAATGGGCTGAGTGTGAATGGCAGCTTCTTACACATGTACCGTATCCTGACCCTGGATCTGTGAACTGGACCTTATCAGGCAGAAGTGTTTTACAGATGTAATTAACCAAGACGTTTTAAAATGAGATCATGATTATCTGGATTGGCCTTAAGTCTGATGGCAAGACTCCCTTTAGGCGACACCCCAAGAGAGAGACAAGGACAAGAGTAGAAACACATGTGAAGACAGAAGCAGAGAATGGAATTAGGCAAGCATAAGCTAAGCAATAGCCTTGCATCTGCTAGAAGATGTAAAAGGCTGGGTAAGAGTCTCCCCCATGAGCTCAGAGTGAGCTCAACCCAGCTGACACCTTGAGTTCGGATCTTTGGCTTTAGGAAACATGAGGTAATAAGTTCCTGTTGTTTTAGCCCACCAAGTTGGCACTAATTTGTTACAGCAGTCCTAGGAATCTGAAATGCCATTCTTGTGATTTTCGTGCAGAGTTACTGGAAGGAATGACACCAGAAAAATTTGCTCAGTGCCTGACAGAGACCTAGAAACATCTGTTCTTGTGCATTTT